AAAGTTTTTGATTCGTACCAGTTCAGTATTTCAGAGTGACTCAAAGCAATTTTTCTTTCTTGTGCGGTGAGTTGTAATTTGTCTTGTTTAATTTTTACAAGCTGTTGCTATAGTAATTGACTCACAGCAAACAAATTGGCCCCAGCTGGGACAATGTACTTTGTTAGGTTGAAGTGTCCAGAAATTAGACTTTTACTGTCAAGTATTAAACTAAGGACTGGCCTTATTTAACTCGGAGTTGATCGAGTGCTTGGTGTTTTTATTTTTTAGCTTTAAGGTAAATCCTTCTAACCAAGAATGGAAGAAACTCGTCACATGAACTTTTGTGATAACATAGAAGCCCATCACAACAAAAAGAAAGAAGAGCAGTTTTATGACTTTATCATCAGGGACAAAGATGACATGGAGGTTAAATCACACAAATTTATTCTTGCTTCTCAATGTGATTACTTCGCAGATCTATTCCGCTTCCATTCAAATTGCGCTGAAACTAAATTTGAAAATTTTTCAAATGATGAGATCAAGATTTGCATTGAATATTTGTATACTCAAAAAGTGAACCTCACGGAAAAGAATGTTGAAAATGTTCTGATGTTTGCCGACTACATCAATCTGACGGATGTGCATGGCATTTGCAGAGATTACATCATCAAGCACATTGATCAGTCGAATTATGGCCACGTGATTGGGCTTGGTCACAAATTGGAAATAAAAGAGCTAATTGAAGCAGGCGTTTTGTTCTCTGCAAAAAACCTTGGGCCTCAAAATATCAATAGTCTGGATACCTTCTCCAAGGACATGATAAATGACGTTGTCCGTTTGCAGCAAGAACAAGTCACGATTATGACACAGGGGCAATGGAACTTCAATGTGATAAAGCAGTGGATGACAGCGACGAACGATGCAATGGGCTTCGAAGCTCGAGGGTCTTCTGTATACTCCAATGTCAATCAATTTGGACCGAAATTCGCGATTAATGGTGAAGTTTCCAATAAAAACCACCTTTTCTTTCACTCCGAACTCGAGATGCATCCGTGGCTGGAAGTCAAATTCCCCTTTCCAGTCTTGATTTCGTCTGTGACAATTATCAACCGCAAAGATTCCTGTTGGGGCAGACTAAGAAATGTAGAAGTCAGAGCTGGAATGACGTCTGTACCTGAAGGATTCACAGCAGTTTACAGAGGACTCCAGAGCAACAAAAAACTCGAGGTTAACACTCGGTGTGGATACTTTGAAGGACCAGCAAGAGGATTTGTTAGCGAGGGATATACCATCGTTTTTGATAGGCCTATACAAGCGCAGTATATCACTTTACAGATTTTAGAGAAACAGTTTCTTCAGATAAACGGTCTGAAAATTAATGGCGGTGATTTGCTGAATCATAACGAACCATTTTTAAACGAAAAGAAATGATTTAGCGGGGTCAGTCTTGGAACTCTCTCGAACTCAGAGGTATGGAGTTTACTACTGAAGCTCCAGCCCTTTCGCGTTGTTAAATATTCACTTCCTTTTTATTGCATCTGATTGACAGATAGAAGACCTAAAAAAGGGTGTGAGGAAATTTGCATGTCTCGTATTAGCGGAATTATTGCATTTCAAACTAAGAAGTCGAATCTCGTGCGCGATTTACGTAAAGAAACTGACATAAAATGAGTTACAAAGGGAAATCGGAAAATTCCTCACACCCTTTTTTAGGTCTGTTATCTGTCAATCAGATACAATAAAAAGGAAGTGAATATTTAACGACGCGAAAGGGCTGGAGCTTCAGCAGTAAACTCGATACCTCTGAGTTCGAGAGCAAAAAACTTAAGCGCCTTTTGAAATTCGATGAAATAAAATCTTTTATAAGGTAATTTAGTCTTTTAGCTTTAACTTGATATATAACTTGCCTTTGTAGCGAAAATATATACACTCTCGCGCGACTAGAATTTTTTTCCATGGGCACCTCGTTTTCCTTTACCCAGACGTTAACATCTATCATTATAGGGTGCAGTGGGAGGGAATGACTGTAAATATTTGAAGAGCGGCTTAATTGTGTATTTATTAGAGATACAACTTTTTTTACTAGTAATTTGTTATTACAGTACTGTTTTAAAGTAATAATGTAATGCAAAAATATACATTTTTTTATTCTTCAATATTAAAAAGGACTATTTGAACTTGATATCGTCTCAAAATTTTTCATCAGTAATTTCTCCAGCATATCACAGTCTTCCCAACTCACAAAACACATGCGCATGCACTTGTGCAAAATAGGGGAAGGGGTAAGCAAGGTGCATTATGGGCAATTCTCCTAACCCCCAGGAGAGGGGGGTACTCCTTGGTGGGGATGTGCCGCCCGGTTCTCCAAATTCTGACCGTATTACAGACCAAAAGATGTCAATTTCCACACCCGTTTTCAGACCTGGAGGAGGTCACAAAACGTAACATTCATGTTTACATAAAACAGAAATTATGTCACCATTGCTGAGATTAGAACGCCAACAAAAAGATTTCTTAAAATCCATTTCGAATTCGCATATTAGACTTTCTTTCTTACTCATTAGGAATTGAAACGATGAACACATCCATACACACTGTAGTTCCTTCGTAAACCATACCCGATTACAGATCAGAATGGACAAAATCTGTACCTGTTTTAAAATCAACACGGAGCAAAAACCTTACACTTTGGAGTGATACATACCTATATAGATAAAATAAGGGAGTACCCCCCTGGCCCCTTTTGTACACACTATCAGCAGCCTTTCCACCATTCATACTAAGAATTCACAATTATCGTTCCGAAACTATAAAAAGGACGACAAATGTAACAGATAAAATACTGAACCAAAAAGTATTGAGAACCTGTGTGGGTTTACCGACGGAAAAAAAAGTCGCGACGATCGCTATAGGCCATTTGTACGAAGAGGTGTTTTTACTATAAATCATTTCGATTTTTATTTCATATTTAAATTGGTAATCCCAGTGAGGTTTAAATGACAAAAGCCCTATTTACCCAAGAAGGGAATATCTTGGTTGATTCTGTTTGAATTATTTGTTTCAGGCGTTTGCTCGGCCCCACTAGCGTTAGTGCTATAAATACTGCCGAGGGTAAATATTTTTAATATAACAGTATAGTCATACATGCGATGGCGTTGCGATACATGACGCGGTAAACTGAAATCTACCAAAAGTGTACTACACGTTCAGAATTTCGTCTTGCTTTTTATACTTATGTCATTTTTTTCATTTTCTCTTTTCCGTCATCTTCGTCGTGGTTGCGATCAAGCACACTAGCAGCACAGTGTTACCACGCAAAACACTAGCAATTCTTGATTTAGATTTCGCTGAAAAAGACCGATGATAATCACGGGAAAAAGTGCGACGGAAAGCGACGTCCACAGGTACCTATAGAGAGGTTCAAAAGCACTTTTAAAAGTTGGCGAATGCTTTGCATCTTGACTTAACTCACCGAGTATTTATTTTTGTTAAATAAATCACTGTATTAATGTTCCAAACTGTTGCAATGTCTCCAAGAGTGGAAAAATTCTCCACAGACATTTTTCCTTACGTAGTAGTTTTTCCTTGCACGTTTGTGATGCTATTAAAAGTTTGTTTTGTTTGTTCTGGATCGCGCATTTCACACCTTGGTAGGGTGAATGCGAAAACATAATAATTTAACAAGCGTGTTGGAAACATCACAGTGCTATTGTTTCTCTGCTTTGAAAACAAGCTATTTGACTCGTGTGTGCCCTCGCTTGCTGTGGCCAAGAGATAGTCGGTTCTTCACTGCTACTATTCCCTCCGTTATGGCACGTGTTCTGGTTTTCAGCGTACTGATTCTCCTATTGTCTTCTGCACAGATTTCAGGTAGGATTTTTAACGTCCTAAGCTACAATTCCGGCTTATTAAAACCAATGAATTAGTTACTGGTTGTTGCTTGGAAATGCGTTTTCTTAGGCGCCAATTATCAATGGCGTTCTCAGTTTTTTTTAAAAGACTATGCCAAGATTTATAGGCCAATATAGTTCGTGTCCGGTTCGGGCTTGATCCAACACGACTGAAAATTCATTTGGAAATGTTGTGGTTTTACTTTTATTATCCTTCTTTGATAATTATGATAATGAGGTTTGAAACAACGACCACAACAACGAAAAATTGAGAAAGACACGTACACTTAATATTCCAGATTCTGAATCTCTAGAAAAGCGACTAAACCCCGTTGTTTTCGTAGCTGGTGTATAAGACGAATACGGCAACAAACTGTTCTGGATTCGCGAAAGAATCCGCAAAAACTCCTCTGGTGTAGTCCCAGGCCTTATTCTAAATTTAATTCATCTAGCTCCCTATATTTCCTTAATTACAAGAAGTTTTGTAAACGGTTTGTTCAATTACCCTCATAGTAGAAGTCGTTTTCGACAATTCGATCCTGAGTAATACCCCCTCCATTTCAACGTGGAGGACAAGACAGCTATAGTCAGCAATTTTAAGACAATTCAAATGAAAACATTTTTTTATGGTATTTCAGAGAAGGTTCTGTACACGGTGAATTATACTAATTATTTGTATTTGTATCTATGAAGCTTATCATAATTAAGGCCTCCTCACTTATAACGATGCGAGTTGAAATTGAAATTATCGTGGCGATGGATGTTAGTAATCACTGAATGATGGCTTACTTAAGTATTTATCACTAGCAATTAACTGTTTTCTCGATTGCAGGTGAATCTCCCCAGTTTGGCCGTGAAACGTTCCCTGTCAATGAAAAGACCCTGAAATGCAAGAATTTCACGTTTCCCTCTTCGTTTTCAAGCGATGATGTCCACGTGCATGTGACAGTTCAGAACCAGTCTCCGAAAAATAACGTTTATGAAGCCGCGGTGGGCTGGGTCGAAGGTGTCACTCAGACTTAGTTTACTGGTTGTGTAGTTACCGCAGGAAAAGGCTTCAGTTACAGAAAGCTAAGCGCTGATTGGCTGGCTTTTCAAGGAACGCCTTCGGGTTCACAGACTGGAAGGATGGCAGTTCCTATCTTTACAACAGGAAGTGTATACGTGGATACATATTTTTCAACGGTAAGGGATCTTGGCTGTGTTGTTCTAAGGGAGTACGTGACCATGACAACTAACATGGTCAGCTTGCTGTTGACACGAGAGCTAATCTGGCTTCTTATACGCATCTCCGCAATGAAATTCTATCCTTTAAGCCCTAAGAGTGATCAACAATCAATTCTCCTTGTATTATCAATGCTTCGTAAAACATAGTGGTCACGAGAATAACGATCATGATAAACTCAAGATGAATATGTTACTGCTGGCCCGGTAATGAGCTTCGCTAGGTTCTGTGTTGCAGTCAACCCTCTCTACGACGGACGCCTTATAGACCGTCCCTGTCTGACCGTCCTAGAGAGGTGTCCTCCTCATGGAGAGTCGAGAAAACGCGACACCAGTTATTTCAAAGCTGAACCTACTCGCTGTGAATACACGTGTGTTTAACTTATACAAAGCAACTAAAACTGGTAACATTGTGAAGAGAAGTAGAATTATTTTCTTTCTGTGCAATCAAACGTTCACGGCTACGTGGACCAAAAGCGTAATAGTATACACCCTGACAACTGGAGAAATTTTTAACATTATGCAATCTACTGTTTGAGCCAGTAGTTTTCACTTCCCAATCGTCCCTTCACTGTTCAAAAGTGTCCGTTATCCGTCTTATTGAGAGTATATTTACAGTAAAATGACTGAAAGACGGCCTGGGACTAGGTGTCCGTCTTATAGAGGTGTCTGTCAATGGAGAGTTGACTGTACACTTTTTTTTAGCAAGGGTGAAATTTGGGATGACCAAATTACTAAGAATAGGACTAGAGAGGGTATAGTGAAAGGCCTTTGAATAGAGGCCATTAAATAAACCTTTAATATCAACATGAAAGTTCTGATTTGAAGCTCTATAATTTTTCTATTTAAGTAGTGGGAAAGAAGTTGTGCAAGTATCAATCAAATTAATCTTTAGCGGATCATGTTTTAAGATCTTGATACCACTTAGTTTTATAAAGGAATTGATATACGAGGGAAAACTTGATCCTTCTTAGCCGTTTAAAGTAAACCAGGATGTGATATATACAGGCGAACATATGCACAGTTTCTATGTCATGCGTAAATCTGAGTTATTAATCAATTCTAGGATAGCGGCCATTTTATACTACATTTCATGTTCCCAGCAGCATCATACCCCATCATATTTTTTGCCATCTTAGCCCCAACTACGAATATGATTTTCGGAAAGCACCGTCGCTTTATGTGAGCCGCGTTTTCGAGGTAAAACTAAGGCATATTTTTCATCGTACTCATACTAATAGTTTTTCGAGTAATTAAGTAAGATAGTTTTATTAATGTGTTCAAATACGCTTAGCTCATTACAGTATTGCAAGTATGCGTTTGCTATTTTGCAGCCATTGCCACAAATAATAAAATAGTGAAAAGAGGAAATAAAACACTAAGATACAATATAAAATATCTATCTATGAGATAAAATCTGTGAATATGTCAGTAATAAAAGTGCAGTTCAATAAATGTACATAAATGTACAGTTCAGTTTTAATTATAATAAAACTATTTGCAGATCAATATAACTATGTGACGTCAATTTCTTTCAAGGGTCTTTTAAAGCTACTTACTAGTTTAGTCTCGTGTTTTAACGCTTCCATTAATACATTCCATATCTTCGGGGCCAGGTATCGCCAAGATCTCAAACCTTGCTTTGTGGAGTTGTCGTTGGGTTAGAATATCTTTACCACGAAGATTATAGGTTGTTGATCTTCACAGTAGTAAGTGTGAGAGATTTGGTGTAAACAGATCGTTTGTTGCCTTCACAGGAGTTTGACAGCAACCCTGTAGTTCATGTCACTGCTGTGCACGAAAATCGCCGTAACAAACACGATGCGACCAGTGTATGGGTAGAGGACATTTCGACAAAAAAGTTCAAGACTTGTTTCAGAGAGATAAAAAACTTCAATGGAATTCATAGGAACTTATTCGTGGTAAGTAATCATATCATTGAAAGTGTGTCCAGTCTATAAATTTTGATTTGTAAATCAGCCGCTTCCAGCTAAAAATGGTACGTGCTATAAGTATTTCAAATGCATACCACCACGATTACCAGCGCAGCAAGATAAGCGCTAATGCAAGTCTACGTATCTTTTAGGACAGCAGTGAAAGTTTGTTAACTTAACGCGTGCTTGAATGCCATTAGCGAGTACCCAAAATGCGCAGATTTGGTGGTCTTTTACTAGAATCGAACCACAGGGGGTCTTTTCCGAGCAGAGGACTCGAAAGTATGCTTCTTGAAAGACTATTTAATGTATGCAATTTATAAGTTACGAGATTTATAGTTCCATTTGTTACTAAATTTTTTTGTAATCTTTGAGTAGCGTAGTAAAATACAGCGAACGTAGAGCGTAGACCATTGGTCAAGCGATCGCCTACAACAGTTTGAGAACAATGCAAATGCCTTTGTATATTTGCGCGGTACTAGCGAACTTCGGTGGTGAGAAGAGCGAACAAGATGTTTTATAAATTTTATAAATTATTTTAGTCTAATACTTTCCCTTTCTGATTTAAATGAGGCCTGCGCATGTGAGTTCGACAGTCAAACTCCCTTGTTCGACCACCTCTATCTCGTCAGCAACTACCTTTCTCCCTTATAATCGACCATCTTTCTCCTGGAAGCGGCTCCACCAATCCAAAACACCAAAACTCCCCAAAGCCCTATAGCTGAAATCTCTCAAAAAACGCCCACCTTCGTAAAATACCAGGAGATATTTTTTGGGCAAAGGCTTCATAAGATTGTCATTATTTTGTTTTTAACTTCTCTTGTGACCGAAATATAAAAAGCTTGATGGTCTGATCTCTTTGTTCGGCGCTTTATGTACTAGTGTACTCCGAGACTAAGAAGAACTCTAAGTGAGATCATGGAACAACATAAAACTTTACTTAGATGATTTTATGCAACTAATTCTCCTCGAAACATTAGATGTGTTTTTACCTCTTCTCAAAATAAATCCCTCTCGTACGAGACGATTTGTAGTGAGAGATCTCTAACCGTTCGCTTTTTGGGTCGTGGTAGCTTATTGAAGGTTCTTCTACATAGCTCTTACATGAAACCCAGTTTCTTTTTTCGCGTCTGCAGATTAATGCATTCTCAACTACGTACTTTGCTTTAAAATTACGATTCATTAGATAATTTTAAAGCAATGAAAGAATGTGTTGAATTTCCTGGCCATTTGAAAATTTCATTTAATTTTTTCTTTAAAGGACTGGATTGCAATGAAAACTCTTTCGTCTACTTGGACCAACGAGGCGCCAGAAAGCAAAGCTTTGTTCATGCCAAACACGGGCTCACCTCCTGCAAAGTTTAACTACGGATTCTGCCAGGTATTTTAAAAATCATAAAATGATAACGATGATGATGATAATGATAGTGATGATGAGGACGATAATAATGATGACGGTGACGATAATGATAATAATAACGATGATAATGATGAGGATGATGAGGATGATGATGACATTGATGACGATGATGATGATAACCATAATGATGATTATAATGATGATGACGACGAAACTGATAATGATGTTGTTTAGCATGTATTAGCTATTTTGAAAATGAAATCTTTTTAGTTCGAAATAGCGAAAGAATAACATACTTAATATGTTTATATCCAACTAACTTGCGCTTTCTTTTATAGAACGTCTCCTTTGATGAACCTTTCTATAAACCTCCTTGTGTTATCACCACAGCATCACATCAATATAATCCGCTAGATTTACTGTCCATTCCACCATCTGAGAATATCATTACGGAATGGACCGAGGTAAGTGGGTGCAACGTGCAGGAAAGAGCTTTGTTAAATAGAGTCAAAATTTTAATGCTGTAATTTCGCTTCAACCTCACACCTCAGACCAGGCCTCGGTTGTTAAAACGTCCACGGGATAAAATCACTATCCAGCGGACAGCCTAATTGATTTTCCTAAATAGCTATTCGCTGGATAGTGATTAATCCGGTGGATAACGCTATCCAACGTTTAAAAACAGGAGCCAGATCTGTAGCCCCTAACGTCAATGGTCGAAACGCTCGTGTTCCAATCATTTCACGACTTCTGAAGTTCTAGGCTAGCTATGTCACACACTACCTGATAGCCGCTCGTAACAACATGAAAAACCATTTGGCGTAGCATGGACAGCAACAGCCCGTAACTAGAACAAGTCGTTCACATACATCAAACATCGAGCCGGAGCGGGTGGCCGAAAGGGTTTGGTACACTAAATGCCATTCCTCACTCCTCAACATTTACTTCCTTGTCAGTGGGTTCCAGCTCCTCGCTCCTACAATTCACTTCTGCTTCGGTCCGAATACCTGTTCATATTGCACTAAAATGTGGCACAGATCCTATCTGATACGGTAAACACCCACATGTTAGAACACATGCGATTTCGGGGTTTAGGCTAATCTAGTTCTTATTTATCGGGTGCTTAGTGAGAAATCAGCCTGAATATGTTCTTAATATGTTCTTAAACTTTGTTTCAGAAATACTACACACAACGTGTTACCAAGAGGTTTAGATAGCACATTTTATTATAAATAAATAAGTAAGTAAATAAACAAATCAGTAAATCAATAAATAAAATAGAAGTCTGTCAAATAGTAAACCTTTTAATATTAACAAGTAGAAATGTAACATTAATTTCAACACCCAGGCAACTGTTATAGTCTTTTAATTGTCTAGCAGCAACTATAGCTACATTAATTGCTTTATTTTTTCTTATTTCAACAACCTCTCCCTTATTATATAAGAACCGTCTTTTTTTTTTTACTCATCAGGCTGAACTGGTTCTTATATATGAGCTGCTTTTTGGGCAAAATTTCAGCAGGATGTTCTTAATCCATTTGTTCTTATATGGGGGTGTTTACTGTATGTGACGTTCCATTTTCGAGAGCATCGGCGCCGCGCAGCTTCGGTCCGTCGAGAAATCACACCGAAATCACCGTTCTTATGTGTGAACAGAATCTCTATCCAGTTGTTTCGTCATTTTTTTCCTATCATGCGCAACAGCTATCCAGTGTAGTGTGAACATAGCCCTCGTGATCAAACTCTCCTCAGAAAATTTTCAAACGTCTGATGTTAGATCTAACGTTCAGCCTGTCCCTAGAATCATTGCTGGTCAGGTCTGAATACATCTCATCAGCTTGACTACCCATCTACAAATCATGGTGACTTGGCTATGCTATTTGGTTGCCACGCAATGGGTCTTTCGCCCCACTTAACACTCATTACTATTTACACCCATTGCTATTTTAGGGTGTGAGCGTAAACGGGTTCTCTATTTGTGTGAAAGATATCCAGGCCTTGGAAGATACACATGCTCCTGTGACCATTCAGTTCATTGCCCTAGGACGTGAGTACCTTTAGATGCAGTTCCCAGCCAAAGTACAGACATTTCGCACTCTTATATTTGAATTAACAGCAGATTATTTAAAAGATTTAATAGAGAAAATCATAACGATAGAGAAGATTGCTTATAAATCATTGACCAGAATCTTGTTATTGAGACGGAATTCTGAAGATATTTTATTGTATTTGACTTGACAAATGAATCCGGAATTCTGGGATTTGGAATCCGGAATGCAACTCAAGGAATACAGAATCCAAGTTGCACTGATAAAGAATCTGAGATCCAGTACCTGAAATCCGAAATCCATCGCCTGGAATCCCGAATCCAAGACTGTCCTGGATTCCCTTAACTGAGGCGAAACGACAGTTCTGAAATAAAAAGGAGCGATAAGTGTGATTTGTTTTTGTCAATCTAAGTTACAAAACTTGGTCCGGTAAGTCTGTGATTCATTCAAATCTTATTTTGCTTTCCTGGCAGAGCTTCATCCTTGTGCTAAGATTACTTGTCCTTTCTATGCTTCGTGTAATGCAAAGAATGCCAATGAGTACGAATGCATTTGTAACTTCACTTGCCCTTCGTTCGAAGATTTCATATGCTCAGCTCAAGGTATCACGTATAACAACGAGTGCGAGTACAAGAGGGCTATCTGTATGAATAAAAAGCACGTCGGCCTTGCTCATCCGGGGAGCTGTAAACGTAAGTACATATATCTCATTGGACGAGTCACGCTGTATTTTGACGAGCCCGTAGGGGGAGTCAAAACACGTGACACGAGTAAAAAATATCCCATGATACTACACACTAAACCGTCTAATAATAGATTTATTATTCAACTCGAGGGGCACTAAATAGAATGCAGTAAATGTGCACGCCTGACGTCTTTTAATGAGAACGCGTGACAGACTGACGTGACTGCAGTGTAAGTCCAGTTTTTATGCGCCTTATACCAGACGTTGTTGCTGATTGGTCAGAAATGAAAACTTGCACTCTACTGAGTGAAGGTGATTACTAAATTAATGTATCAAGTAATTTCCACTCAGAGATGTTTAGAGAGAGAGAGAGAGAGAGAGAGAGAGGGTTATTCAATTAAGAGGCAGATCATAGGCCTAGCTCATTGCTCTATAACGATCTGCGGCAGTCTGGGACACTATCAGTCGCTGTTCGTGTTCTTACAATCCAAGACATCACATCAAAGAGAAATATTCCCATTTAACTTAGAAACGCAGACGAAGCCAGCTTTTTAGTGGAATTTGGTGGAGAAGTGGCACTTAGCATTTGGCTTTGATTCGGCACGGTGCAGTCCTCGATCTAGCCTGTGCCAGGCTTTAATTCAGGTATTAAGGACGTCGAGGAAATAAAACAAGCCGAGCAAATATAAGACATGCCCGATCTGGAGAAAGGAGCGGTGGCAGTAAAAGATGAGAGAGAGAGCCTCCGCGACTGCTCGCCTACACATTACCATCTAAGGGCCTGAAAAGAAAAGAAAAGGCTATCGATGATCTAGCCCGCGTAGCAGGCGTCGAAAGGGCCGGGTTAGGGGATTGGGAGGAAGGGAAAAAAAAAGGGGGTGGGGGGGTATTGTGCAGAGAGGGTAAGAGACTCCCTTCCCTTTTCCCTCCAATTGGCGCTTTTCGCCCGTTCCCCTCCCCTTTTTGCGCCTGCCACTCATGCAGTATCGACGATCGTGTTTCATGTCATCCGGACGTTAGCTAGTCAGTTAGTAAGTTGGTAAGTTAGCCCTAAAGTTCTCCAAATTGCATGAGAATAACGATGGAATTTGTTTTTCTTTCAGCTTTTGTTTCCCAGCGTGGATTTGCTGCCTTGGATATGTCCTCCGACGAGTTGAAATGCAGTGATATATCTTACAACTCCAGTGAATTTTACTCTGTTCAACCTGTTCACGTTTTTTTGTCTATAAACCACGGAGGACAAACCAATGGCTTGGTCCACGATGTACGAATGAAATACATAACGAAATTACAGTGAAATTTCTGTCAAGAAATTAAAACACCTTGTAGGCTCGATTACCAGCCGCTGTTTGGGAAATGAGCCCTTGAGCTTGAGATTTGTGTGGTCTTCAGATTTTCTCGATTTGTGGCACTCCTTTTTCTCTACGAATTTCTGTGCAGTAACTAATTTTTAAACAAATGCAACTCCACCGATTATTTTATTCTCTCAACTTTCTCTCTCCTGGTTTTAAGGCTGTGAACACTTGGGTAGAGGACGTCGGTGAAGGAAAGTTAACAGCGTGCGCAATGAAATCAGGACGCCTTGAACACGATGGACCCGTCCCTTCTGATTATGGCTTAGCCAGTGTGGACTGGGTCGCATTCCAAGGTGCACCCCGCGGAGGCATGGTGGGTACAGAACCAATAGATGACTGGTGGGAAGGAACAACTTGCAAACTTGTCATGCTCCCCCCGGTGAGACGTTTAGTATGGTTTTAACCCTTTAAACCCCAATGGTGAACAACATCAATTTTCTCCCAACAACATACACACCTTGTCACGCGATAAGGTTATGAGAATTAATGAAATTATCACTAAGGGGAAAATGCTTTGATCTATTTTTTCAAATTCTCTCAACTACTTCTTTAAAGAAATGTATAGAGATCAGTTTAGAGAATTGGTATGTTGATATTGGGGCTTAAATGGTTAATAAAGTGGTTATTGTGGAACCCGGTTAAAACGGACACTAATCAATAGGCAGGCGCAAACAAAGATAAGAGAGAAAGAAATAATTGAAAGAGAAGCAACAGTTAATGACCCCGACAAACAAACTATTAGTCAATCACTGCTCAGGTTTTCATTCGAAATGGATTTGCACGAAGGAACTAGAGACTACGTTCTAGACGAAACGTATCCTAGCAAATATATATCGACATTTCATTACGCCTGTTTTATTCTAGGGCCGTTTTTCAGCGATTCCGTCAGTGCTGCTTACAGCCAAGCATGTCGCCCTTAAGCGTAAAAAAGACGCGGCAACTCTTTTTACGGAGGACATCACTAGAACGTCGTTTCAGATATGCATCCGGGAACTGCAGAATTTTGACGGATTTCATAGAAATATCAGTGTGGTAAGAACAACTCCTTTGAATTTCATGATGATTAGTAGTAGAAAGCGCGAGTGATTTGTTTTCTCGTCTGTTTTTGAATTGTAGAGTTGGATGGCTTACGAATATCTTCCCCGACAGACGTTCGCCGAATATGATAACATTTATTTTGCGAATGGAAAATCCCTCAAGAACTCCGATAACCACGCGTTTTGTAAGGTACGACAGAGAATACAATAAGGCGTTTGTATCTATTTGTGATTGATCAATAGAATAATGAATTGCTTAACTCTTAACTTATTTTAATGTAAAGCGAAAAAAAAGAGAAGGGGAAGTCTGTGGGGACTTATTGTTATCAACTCCAAACGAGAAGCTGCTATTTTCTTCCTTAAAAACACCCTGATGTTGATGGTTACTATAGTTTCGAGATATGATGTCACCAATAGAATGACCTAGCTCATTCTCTTGACGTCACAAGTTCCATGGCGAAATATTTAGGAATTGCTACCGAAAGTCGCAAAATGTTTAATAACATGATATTTTTCAGTTCTAAACCATCTAATGAGGTCAAGGGAGAGATGAGGTATATTTGACGTTTAATTCGTAAAGGCTTCAAGATCAAAGAAGTGTATTTTGAAACACTTCATTTTATATTACATTAGTGTTTGAAAAAGTCTATATTCTGTCACACAGGAGGTTACATTCAAGGTGAATTACATGAAGAAACCAGCAGTAATGATCAGTGCTACACATAACTCATCCTCTGGATTGCTTCCCGATTTCAACGGTATTACGTCATGGATAGAAGTATGAAGATCAATGGCCCTTACGCATGATTACCTCAGAAGAGCAAATTTCCTCACCAAGTCGATCTCTTTTGAAGATGGTGCATTTAATTCTTTGCAATTGCACTGTCTGGCGTGGTTTATTCTTGGGAATAAATTTGCATGATAAAACTTTGCTGATTTTTAATTTCAAAACGAGGCTTGATGAAATTTGCTCATGTTACGTCAACATGCATAAGGAATATTAGTATATTGATCATGCATGATTATTTTTTTTTAGGAGAGAGAGCCTTGGCACTACGTTGAATAATCAGTCATGCAATAACACGCGATATAGGAAAAAGCCTGAGTTCCAATAATGACCGAGCGCGCAGCGCGAGGTTATAATTTTTAAGAAAGCTGAGGATCGAGCGAGGGCATTATTCAATTTAATGCATCTTCTATTGTTTTATAATTAGAACCAGCAGGTCGTCATCGCGACCAATGAAGTGGAACAGTACAGGTTATTATTCCTAATAATGACCTCTGTTGCATCTCAGTGACCTGCTCTTAGCTTCTATTTGTTGAAAATAATAACCTGACGTGTTCAAAACAATGGAAAGGTGCATTACAAAGCTGTATTATAAAGTTTATATAGTCAAACCTGGTTAATACAGACACTGAATGGGCCGTATTGACGGGTGTCCGTATTAAGCGGGTTGATTTAGAGAAAATGTAAGGGCTTTCTTTTCCCAGGGATAAAGCAAATCGTACGTAATAATGAGGTGTCCGTATTAAGTGAGTGTCCGTAAAGCGGGGTTTGACTGAATTATTATTATTATTATCATTAATATTATTGTTATTATTATTAACAATTTCATTTTTTTTACTATTATTATTATTCGAATGTTTTGTTTTTCTCGTGGCAAATATGTCGCAAAGAGGTTAAAAGTGAGAAATATTTTAATACTGGGGTAAAGATGGTAAATGCCACATTTGCGTACAAGCTAACACGGGATTGTAAATAACAAGGCAAATGGGCATTAGCTATCTTTGCCCCAAATTTACTCTCCAGTTTTTACATTTTTGAGACATATTTAGTGCGATGAGCAAATTTTTACAAATCCATTTTCGTTCCAATACAGGAGCCGATTATATACTAACAATATCAATCCAATAACATCAATTGGTAAAATCCAACTAGTGGTCTATTATCAATGCTGGGTTCTGATTGGTTGAGCTACTACTAGGCTGTATGCTATAGCCCATTAGTAACGAAAAGCCCCGGCAGTTTGGTGCGCAAAAAATGATTAAAGTGTAGCTTTAGTTAGCTTAAGTTGTTGTGTCTCGATATTTTTGACCAACTAGTTGACTCGTGGCCTCTGAGTCAATAGCCCATGACTGCCGAAGGCCGAATGGGCTATTAACGCAGAGCCAAGAGAGGATTAAGGGGACAGAGAAGGCATCCCCCATATGCACCCTATTCCATAGGTAATTCGTCTCGAGTTATTTTTAAGACCACAGATCCCAAGGGAGATGAGACAACAGCCAATCACACAGCGCGAATGTGTTCCGCCTGGATGACCCACGCTCAGAGCCACACGTCCTTCACGAATATACGCAGAACTAAATGGAGGAAGACGCGGAAAGCGATATTGCTATTCGTTTTGTCGACGAAAACGACTACAGAGAGATTTCTGCTAAAGCTGTGTCAGCGAAACGGAAAATAAAAAAAGAATCGCCCTTCCTCTCTTGTAACACCCTGAATATTCTCTCAGGATTGTTTATAATTTACAGTTTTAAGGGAGCAATTTCTGGTTTGATATTTATTCTTTTATTAGTCTCTTATTATTCAACAAAAATAACACTTGCCGTCCTACTTGCTTTATTGTACCAACGACTGGTTTCAATAGACCGGCGAAATTTCTCATTTTATTAAAGCACTGAGGTTACGACAACTTCGAGTTAAACTGATTTCACGGGTTGTCAAAGAGTCTAGCGATTCCCTTTTCCCAGATGAGCACCGACTCATTTCGCTTCAATATTCAGAAATGCTCTCGATCTCTTTACGCTTTCATTGCCTTTCGCCCGACATGTTTTGCACGGCGTTCAGTCATGCGAAACCTCCACGAAACATCCAAGCATCGCGCTAGGTAACTTTATCCCGATTCTAAAAATAACTCGAGACGAATTACCTATGGAATAGGGTGTGTATGGGGGATGCCTTCTCTGTCCCCTTTATCCTCTCTTGCTCAGAGCCCATTCGGGCTCGAGCAATAATTGTGAAATACTAGGTTTATATTTCACAATATAACACTTTAAAGCCCGATTAGCACATCGATTTATTATATTTTAAAAATAATTTTCTGTTAATTTCATTTATTAATCTTTCGGATTTTGCCTCCCAGAATATTGACAACGAAGGGTTCAAGGTTTGCATGAAAGAACTTCATCTCAAATCTGTTTATGATCCTGTCGTGATCACGTGGGTCACAATTCCAGGTAGATAAGAACTTAGCTTATGTATCGCTTTATTTTCGCTTAGAAAGTTTTCTCTGACTAGTTATTTTCTTGATGGGGTAAACAGAAAAATATGGCAGTTTTTCCTTGACTATTCATTTTTTAACACTAAAAGTTAATTGTTTATTTAGTCAGTCATATTTTCTGCCTTCAACGAATAATTCAGTCAGTTTGTTTTAAGCGTACCCAGACTTACGAAGGGGATAATAACTTTCTGGGCTACATATTTTTCTCTCAAGGCACACCCTAGAAATTCCAAAACTATTTTTTTTAGGCAATTACCTCGCTTGCTTTCTAAACTGTTTAGATTTTAAGTTAATTTTATTTTTAAGTCAGGGTAAATTATAAAGATGAAAAAAATCTTCTCTATCCCCTTAATAGCGATCGTTTCTCAATAAGCGGGTGCGATTAAGAAAATCAATTCCGCCAAAGTAAATCGAAATTACATTCGTGTCTTCGACTTATTGGTAAAATCCCTCAACTCCACTCAGTACAGTTGACCACACGTTGTGGCTATCGCCTGATGGCGACAATCTTATCATGTGTAAACACTCTGTTTGATTAGTTCCTACTGGTCGGAGGCTTGGTTTAAAATGAACTCATGAGGCTAATAGATGTCTTGTTGTTTCAGAATGCAATTCACCGTTAGGTGTTGGAATGTCAGATAAACGTCGAATCACAGGGGATCAGATGACGGCTTCTTCTCAGATAAGCAGCATGTATGAAGCCAGACTGGGCAGGCTGAACAACAGGGCGTTCCCTGGAGTTCACATGGGGGCCTGGTGCCCTTTAAACAACACCGGTTAATGGCTACAGATCGACCTAGGCCACCTCCATGTTGTGACAGGCGTTGCTACTCAGGGCCGTAACAGTACGTTGGAACAGATGTGGGTGGAGACATTCGAGCTTGCTTTCAGCAAAGATGGCAAAACCTGGGACACATAGAAAGAAAATAATATCACTAAGGTAGGATGGAAATGTGCGTTAACGAAATTTTGATCGTTTTACGAAATTTACGCCAAATTAAAACAATTGGAACTAGCATCAATAATGCAAACTGAGTGAAACGTAAAAAAACACCAAAATAAATTAAAAAAGCTATAAAATTATGCAGTTGACTCTCTCTCTTAACGGGCACCTCTATAAGACGGACACTTCTGTAAAACGGACACCTAGAGTTTTCGCCCTGCCTTTCTTTACCTCTATATTTTAGTCTATAAGACGGACACCTCTGAAAAACAGACACCTACAGTTGGTGCCTGCCTTTCTTTACTCCGATCCGTTCTTTATTTGACTTTCTATAACACAGACATCTCTCTAGGGCGGACACTTGGTGCCAGTCTTCAAGGTGTCCGTCTCAGAGAGAGTTGTCTGTATAACGCAGCAAATACCACACGTGTCTCAGGCTCATGCTGCTTGTGAGCCCTGTGCAAATACAAATGGAGGAATGGATGGATAAAGTTGAAGAAGATTGAAACGGATTGCAATTTTGGTTTTTTTAGAGCTTGTTAACCTAACAATTTTTGTAGTTTGTAACGTTTGATTCAGTGATAGGGAGACTAACCTTTTGGCAGGAAGCTGTGTTTAAAACATGTCATTTACAATTAATTTATCGAGTTCCATGGTGAATTACGACGCAATTAATTGGCATTATAACTAAAATAAGCTAGCCAGCCTTGACACAACCTCTTATCATCTCAGACATTATTAAAAGAGGTAAATTTCGTCCGCAAATAAAAATAATCTTTAAGGCAATGTTGATTTTAAATCAGTCATACCAGTAGTCTGTCCGTGATATAAACAAGGGAATAACATCTCAAAACCCATTTACTTACTATATGTTTAGGTTTTTAATGGCAACAGAGAAAGCAATATGGTCGTTGTTAACATTGTCAAAGAGACCCCGTTAACTAGATACGTGAGGTTTCTACCCATTTCTTGGTACGGTCACGTGTGCATGCGAGTGGAGGTTTACGGATGTGAAGGTTACACAGGTAAGACGAATCTACCACAGACATACTATCTATAAGATGGGATACCTGTGAAAAAAAATCAATTCGTTCATTCTCATTAGAATGGAACCTACACCGTATAGGTATGAAACACTGACTGGGAACTACAACCCAAACGTCAAGGGCTGGTCTAGCTAGAGGCAAGAGCAGGCAGAGAGCTTAAGCGAGAGGCTCAATAAAAAAAAATGCATTTTATTGTACCGTGCCGTAGGCCAAGACCGTAGACTCGTGCTCGTAGACCCCGAAGACCGTGGTCCCCACTCATGAGTCTGATATCACGAAACAAACTTTGAATCCACAAATACATATGGAAATGACAATTTTATTTACTGAAAAAACTCTCAAGTAACATTTTTTTGTAACATAAAAAGCCAAGAAAAGGACTCTTCCAACATTTCCCCCCCCCCCCTGCCCCCTGCACCTGCACCAAGGCGGGGGTATAAATTTGCTTGTGGGAACGATGGTTAAAACAGTAGGGCCATTTACACGAGGAAAAATAAGACGCGTCTTACATAAGACGCGTCTTAAATAACACGCGAACTTTCCGTATAAACGGCACATTTCGTCTAAAATAAGACGCGGCTTAGCTAAGACGAGTCTTATTAGATAAGACATGCTCGTATAAATGGTGCAGTTCGCGTCTTATTTAAGACGCGTCTTATTTTTCCTCGTATAAATGGCCCTAGTGTGACTTACGTAACCCTATCATGATAGCGACCATTTAATTTCAGCTAGATTTGTCCGTTTCATTGCAGAGCCAATCCACGTGCGTATGATGTCCGAAGGCTATAACGACATTCCCTCAAGCCCTGGGGGAGATTCTTCTATTACGATTGGCGGTCTTGAAGTTAGTCCAAATGTAAGTCACGCGTTCGATTTATTCAAACAGCTAAAGCATCAGTGACGTTTGATTTTTGCTTTACTCTCTAGAAATCCTAGAGCTTTTAAAAGGCATACAAAAAAGCCAAAAAAAAAAAATGTTCAAAAAACTAGGTAGTAAATTAATTCAATATTAGCGGAGCCCCATAGCTAAGAAAATTTGGTTATCTATCCATCTGAGAAATTTTGGCAGTCACGCGACCGTACACCGTCCGCACCACAGGGCAGTCAGTGTAAAATCTCACACATTCTAGTTAGTGTGTGAGGCTGCAACCTGATATTGCATATCCATGTTGTAGTCAATTGATAGTTTCAAAAAAGAGTATCCGCTGACCAGTATCACATGACCATATCGTGGAGTCAGGTGTCGATCCATCGAGGTAACGTGGTTTTTGAAGTTATCCGCTGACAAGTTGCTAACTAAAGTTTTTCATCTGATATTGCAGGCTCAACTTCAAGTGGATTCAAGTTTAGAGTTTGAAGTTGATAATAGATTTTATTAACGGGAGCTTCGCTTTTAGCCTTGAGTAAATCTATATATTAAGCTCAAAATACATTTTTTCTTCATCTAGGAACGTGGTCATAATGTGGTGGCCGTCGATCAAGAAGGAAGTGTTATCGAGGCCAGAAATTTCGATACTCTTGGAGATAGCTCTGCGGGTAGAAACATGGCGAATTTTATTGAGTCTCTACCCATTCATACCGTGGTGTTGATTGCAGTCAAAGATTCTGGTGGACGTTTCGTTGATGATGCCGCTAATGCTCTTAAAAGCCTGGGAGCTACCGAGCCTTTGAATCCAGGCTATCGTGGGTCATGGCTGTTGGTGGGATATAAGGGGACTGGAGAAAAGCCGTCGTGGATACGACAAGAAGAGCAAGCGCAGTTCTTTGGGCCGAGCTTTATAACGGTCAGAGTGTTTGAATAACTGAAAAAACTGTAGAACAAATCGATTCAACAGGTCAACTTCGCATTCGAAAGAGTGATATGAGTAAAATATTTTATTATTTTCCTGAAATACATGTTAGATTGAAAGTTGTCCCCACATATTAATGGAATGATAATTATGTAATAAAATAATAAGTGTTTGCCCAAGGCGTTTGGTCAATTTTATACAAATCACCTTCAACACCACTTCTTAAAACTGCTTTTTCCGTCATAAAAGTTTCGGAAACATTTTCTGAACGCTCTTGAGCTTCATGATTCTGATGCAAATATTAACGACTTATTTGTGTGGCCGTGTTAGGAAATTCTCCGGTGGGGCAGGGGAGTACTCAATCAATATTTGGGTATCAGTAAGCCGCTGAGGGTTTGAAACTCTGACCCTGTTTAGGACAAAAAAAATCCTGAAATACGTACCTGTTTAGGACAACACCCTCAGTTTTAATACCCCTGTTTAGGAGAAAGGACAAAATACACGCCGTCCTGTTTTTAAACCATTTATTGGCAATTGCAATAGAGCAAATACACGGTTTAGTCATTGCTTTTGTATACTTGGAGAACCAAAAATTTCATCCTGTTTATGATTAGGACAGACTCGCACAAAATTATATACCCTGTTTAGGAAAGGGAGATAAGAAAAAACATACCCTGTCCAGTGGCACATCCCCAAAAGGCCATATAAGGGAGTACCCCCGGGAGAAATTCACAGCGTTTACGTTGAACCATAAGAGCTGAAACGTGTTCCTGAACAACAAGAAAAAATGCTTTCTAATACAAAGGATGATACATTGCTTTGTGTTGTTAAAAGTAATTTGGCAAATATATATCCGTTGGTTTGGTCAAAATGTTAACAACGCAATTAAGTCCAAAAAGCTTCAAAGTAATTGGTAAAACCGGAAACTACTTGGTAGGCCCCACGTGTATGAGCGACTAGCATTTCTTTTCACCCTTTTTTACCGTGAATCTGTGGATGAAATCCTATGGTATTAACCATTCCAATAAAAGCTACTGAGCAGAACTATCGCATGTTTATTTAGCTGTACAGGGTACTTCTAACTTTCAACTCTGTGGCCGAAACCCTAAAGTGCGACCATTCAAATTAAAGTTACTTTAGCAGTTCTTTTCTGCGGCAGTGTTGATTTTGCTGCCAGGGAAGTGAAAGGCTTAATTAGCTTAGAAAAAAAATTGATGTGACTTTTCTTAGTTTCTTCCTGTTTCTATTTTAGCATCAGTGGGGTTGGTATTATTTTCGATCCCATGAGATTCTCCAGCTGGATAAACCCTTACTCTTCGCCGACTGCAGCAAAGCATTGCCTTGAACTTTTCCTTAAATCGCTCGTTGACCAAGGCATATATAATCGGGTTGATGGCTGAATTGAACAAGACTATTGTGTTGCTTGCTTCTATTGTATGGAATTTGTGCGAGGGAAAAAAATCGACCATGAGGTAGCCAACTGTGTTTGTCCCCCAGCAAACCCCAAAGATGATGCTTACAATGAAGACCATCAAGGTGACTCGCTTCCGAACCTTCATCACACCCTACCAAGAAAAGAGGATCAATGTATTTATGTTTTTGGCTGAGTTCACAATTGGTTCCCCATATCACTATAGCAAGTACCCGTACAAATTGGTGCTGTGTTCAGACAGTTGATACCCGATAGTGTATCACCGATTGATAAGCCCTTTTATTTTTCCGTTCATAAACACAGGTCTCTAAACACAGGTCACAACGCTGGTCACAAAAGAAAATCAACCAATTTATGCTTTCAAGCTGTGTTCAGACTTGGTTCTTGATTACTAGTGCAGGCACCCACCCAAATTGGTGCTGTGTTCAGACACTTCGCACCACATATTTTTATACGTGCCTAAAACACCTGAGAGGAAAACATTTCATTTCATTTTCCAGCTGAGGGAAACATTGAGGTTTAATTCAATTGGGTCCTCCGGAGTGGGAAAGGCGTTTGGACGGATGAAAA